TATATTATTAGTTTTCATTTTCGAAGTAATTTCTTTAAAAAATTTATTGACTCAAATTATTACTGCATAATATATATACTTCTATTGTTAGGTTTTTATCAATTTATTTTATAAAATTTACATTTGAACAATCTAAGGGATGCTCTTTATTCTTTTAAGAGATCGAAATACGCTTTCTTTTGGAGTAAAAAATAGTTCTATTTTTAAAAATCATTATTTTCAAAATTTTGCATAACCTTCGCCTAAGGTCGGAGCTTATGTTTACCGTTTATTCGTGTTCTATGTATAAACATCATCTTGTATTGCTTAAGTTTGTAAAAAACTTGAAAAACTTGATTGGACATGTTTTTTTCTTATTATTTTGGATTGTATTGGATTATATTTTTAAATTTATATGACTTTTACGTTTTAGTGCATTTTTATAATGATTGAAGTTTTTAAATATATTTAATTAAATATTAATAAACAATCTTACTATTGAGCCCGTCAACGGTCAATGGTCGTCCTAACTCACTCAATATCCTAGATCTGCCGCTACCCTAACAAAATGTGACCAACATACATCTACTTGGAACAAACTTCAGAATATTCAACAAGAGCCGTTATGAACAGCCTTACAACGATACACTGTATAGTCCAATAGTTAATAGCATAATTCTAATTCGCCCACGAAAAATAAAATTTAAATACAAGTTCATTGAGGCTTTGTTCAATCAAGTTGGACTAAAGTTACTAAAGATTAATATTACATTTTAGACATTCCCAAGCCCGGATAAAGGTGGAAGAGTGCAGTAGAATTATGCACTCTTACATACACACAAATAACATACCGCATTGCTGAAATGTTCTTAATGTAAATTTGCAGCTTGCTACTTTGTACAGAATAACAAACTATAAGCATTTATTCAGGTTGTGCCCCCAACTATTATAATTTATAAAAGTTTGAGATTTTTTATTTAACAAATCATAAAGTAAAATATTGAGTTCCAAGACAACTTTAGTAAAGACAAGCCATAATTTGGCAATAATAATAAATTAGATTGACAAAGAAAAAGCATGAGAACTAGTAAATAATTCTTGCCTTTGCGTCGTTTCGAACAAACTGAATCCCATGCCCAGGATATACTGTTGAAGAACAAAACCAGCATTTCTCTAACCTCATAGTGCCTTTGTGTTAAATAACCACCCTTTTCCTGCAAATTACAGCAACTCCACATTGAGGAGAAATAAAAGACAGGTACTTACAAATTATAATTGGAACCAACTATCTAATAATTGTATAATGTTGTCAAAAACCCCTTCTATCTGAGAATCAACGCAGAATAGCAATAATAAACATTTTCCCCATAAAATAACATAAGATCTTAAAATTTAAATATAAGACGAATGGACAAAACGAAAACGAAAAAGAAAGTGATATACAAAAAAACACCCAACAGCAATTGGGATAATTATTTTTATTTCATCAAGTGACTGCGTCTATACTAATGGGCAAGATCTTTTCTTTTAATCACAAAACTTCAATATGATTTATTACTCTAACCACACAAAGGAGACAGTTACATGAAGCAAAAGCAGCAATTGCCATGGAAAAGACACATTAAAATAACACAAAAGGAAAATTCGAGGGAAGAATTTCAAGAATGCGTAAAAGGAAGGGTCAAAGAATATGCCCAGACCTGCAGTCGGTGAGGAGATTAGCAAAGTTCCCAGCTGGTGAAGTGTGGGAATGGGACGAACGAGGAGAGAAAAAATCCTCGAAATTTTTTGAGGAATTAGGGTTTAGAGTTTAGACAAAAAGAACTTTGAGGCCAGCCTGGGAGTTTTGGGTATTGGTAATTTGGTTATTATTCATCACTTCTAAAGTTTCAGAAGAATATAATTATAATTTATATACGATCTTTTGTTAAATTTAAATTATAATTTATTGTATGAAATATTTTTATTCATAATTGATATTTTACTTATAAATATTTTTTAAGTAAATTTTATAATTATAAATAATTTTGTACTTTTAATAATTTTACATATAAGTGAATTTTTTTTACTTATAAATAACTTTTTGTATTTTATAAATAATTTTTTCCTTAATTAGTAGTATTAATTCTTTATAACGCAATTTTTATACAAATGTGATTTTTTTTTAATAAATAATTTAGAGGTAAATTTTTTAATGATAAAGTAATATTTTTACTTATAAATAATATTTTTATTTGCAAGTTAGTTTTGTACATAATATGTTGGATGATGAAAATAACTATTTTATTATTGATAAAATTAGAAGATAATACGATAAACGATCAAAATTCATCGATTTTTTAATGATTTTTAAACCAATCGAAATTGTTGTTCAAAAAAATTAGCAAGTACATATTTCCTCAACTCCTTGTAAATGAAATCACCTAAAACCAGTCAAAATCGATTGGAAAAAAAAAGGTCTTTGAATAACACCATAGCTTGGAGGTTCTATCGTCAACTTTCTCCAAAGAATTATGCTTAGTGGTACCACTAACATAAGGGTGTCCATAATGGACACCCAGCACCCTCTTATTGGAGGGAGTGTCGACCCCACCGACCCTCCCTCCAATGATATAGTACCGGGTGTCCATTATGGACACCCCGATGTTAGTGGTGATGTACCACTAACATCTCTCTTCTCCAAAATCTAACGTGAATGTTTGGGCCCACAATAGAGGCACTATCTGGCCAAGTGCCAACAAATACTCGTTTTTTTTCTTTTCTTTTTCCCTTAAGTTACACAAATAACCTAGAAAAGCAAATTGTTTCTCAAGACAATGTTTGCGGAAGTTTCTTAGAGGTTTTCTTTTCAATTTAGAGGCACGTAGATTTTCCCGTATTGTGGAGTTTTCCCGCGTAAAATAACTTTCAAGTGTTATTGTACTATCCTAGGTCTACACTTATCATTCTCTCTTTTTTTTTTTTTTTTGGATATTTAGGTATCCCAACTTATACCAGACTATATCCTGGACCACCCATTTTCGGCCCCTCAGTGATGGGTGAAGGTTAACCGCGAGATATGCCCCAAGATCCGTGCACCTTTTATATTCATGGCCCCAAAGGAGTCTTCCTCCATGTATATTACATCACC